ACACATACACACACACACACACACACACACACACACACACACACACACACACACACACACACACGCACACTGACACACACATACACTAACACATTAACACAGTTAACACACTATCAAACAACTTAACAACCAAACAACCTAACAAACATTCTGTCAGAAATAGAAAATCATTCGATCCTTCAACCACTTTTTCCTATTTTTTCCCCTTACATGTGATTGAAGGACGCAAACGGAAGGCCTATCTTTTTGTGCTTCCTGTCTCGTATCTAAGTATGTCTTACTTCTTTCCAGACCTAGATTATGACCGTGTATCGTGTTGAATACTAATCCATACCGTTCTTTCCAGGGTGTTTTTTTGTGTTTCTCTTTTTCTCTTCCTCTGACACCAAGCTAACATCTTGAAAGAAAAAAAAGAAAACGTGTGGGATTCTAATTTACGTACACGTCAGAGATTTCTGAAAAAATGTTTACTATAACTCTTCCATCTAAAAAATATCATGGTTTTTTTTGCAGATAACCTTTGACTGCAAAGCACCTGTTTTTACCAAATTATTACATGTGATTATGTTTCAGTTTGTCTTTATTATATCATATGCTTATGGTTCTGTACCGAGAATTATTAAGCACAGCTTTTTCTTCGCCTTTGTTTTTAAAAAAACTTACTGAGTCACAAAATGTGATGGCTTACAGCATAACTCGTATCAAGTCATCGTACTTTGTATTTTAAAAGTACAAGAGAACGTATATTTTCTTTTCTTTTTCCATATTATGGCTCCTTGCTTGCCTGTAATATTTCGGTTTAGAAAAATTCTAGTTATCATAAGTTCAAATGGAAGTTTCGCTTGTTTCAACCAAAACAACATGTGGAATAAAACCTACCATGAAATATCTGACAGAACTGTTCGGTAAAAATATTTTTAACCTCACAAACCGCAAAAAAGCCATCCGTGTTTGGGGGAAAATACCCTTTCACATCTTCACCTTCACCTTTTTTTTATCCCGTAGACTGGATGTCCATCGGGTCGCTTTTGAAGATTTGGCCACCAGTGTCCTTCATTCCTTCCCGTCATCAGCTTTTCTGAGCGTGTCTTTGAGTTCTAGGCTTGTCCATTCCATGACGCTGTCCTCCCAACTCTTCTTCGGTCTGCCCCAGCTCCTTTTTTCCCTAGACACAGCCTTGCAGGATCATCTTGGCAAGGCTGGATGAACGGGCGATGTGTCCATACCAATGCAGTTTGCGTTTCCTGACCAGAGTGAGAAGGTCAGCATGTGGTCCAATTTCTTTTTTGATCCGCTGTTTGACGTCATCATTTTTTATGTGATCTTTGTATGAGGTACCAAAGATTTTTCGGAAGCATCTTATCTCCACAGATTTGATTCTTCTTTCAAAGTCTGCATTCAAGGTCCAGAATTCACATGCATACACCCTTTCACATCAACCTATACATTTGAAATAAAAATATTACTTGAAAATGTAAAATCAGGATTGTCTTACTTTACTTTACTTTTACCCGTCGCTAATACCCTTTTGGGTGTTGCGGGAAGAAAGAGACGTCTCTCTGTCGCCAGCCGGACAGCTTGGGTCAGGGGCATGCCGTGCGTTGTTAGTGTTTCCCTGACTCCATCTATCCAGGTCTTACTCGGTCTCCCTCTAGCCTTGATGCCATCAAATTTTTTATATATACACGTTGTGCTGGATGGTGTGTTGGTAATCGAATGAGATATTCGAACCATTTGATTCTGTGGTGTTGGATGTGATGCATCACATCATTCGTGAGCACCACTTCTCTGATTACCGAGTTTCTAACTTTGTATTGCTTGGTCTTGTTTACTGCTTTTCTAAGACATCGCATTTCACATATGGTAATTCTTTGCTCTAAGGCTAATGTCTTGTTCGTGGTCCATTTTTGGCATTGATAGGTGAGTATTGGGATGAATATGGTGTTGATCATTTTGAGTTTTGTTGTCATGGGGATGTTAAGATGTTTCAGTAGTGGAGTAAGCTGGTAACTAACATTATTGGCCTTTTGTACTCGTGTTTCAATTCCTCTGTTCAGTCGCCCATCCTCTGTGAATATACTTCCGAGGTACTTAAACTCTTGGAACTGTCTAAGATTGTTGTTGTTTATGTGTATCCTGAGTGGCTTTCTGCTTACTTTCATTGTCTCTGATTTGATGATGTTGATTTTCAAGTCCGGATTGTCATATTATTATATTCAAAATCCCAAGACTCAATGAAAATGGAATCAAAAGATATTCACAAAAATAGGAAGTTTTGTGTTGAACGAGACATCGGTATAATAAGGTGAATGTCCTTGTGATTACTTTTTGGAGAATCTAAAAGACCAGCCTGTTATGTTTGTGTCT